CAGAAATCTCCCCCTGCAAAAAATCCTGGATCTGCTCTGCTCCTTCCTTCCTTCCGTCGGCTACTCTTGCTTGTGGGTGCGAATTTCTCTGATTTTTCGGTAAGAACAGCCATTAATCCATCTTTTTTTCCTTGAATTGGCTTGGGTTTACTCTAAATCCTCTTGGTTCTTCCAATTTTTTGGTAGATTTCTTGATTTTTCCCCTGCACTTCCGTCGGCCTCCCCCAACCTCCAGCTCCAGTTTTGCTGGGAAAATTCTGGTATGTTGACAGCTCCTCCAAGCCCGAAATTTCATTAATTAGTTGCTGAATTTTGTCCATTTATTTGCTGCCCTGTGCTGTCCGAATTTTACTGAAAAATGGGGATGAATTTCGATAGTAATTAGAGCATAATTAAGCTTAATTCATGTATAAATTGCTTGAGTTGGCTGCTGTGATTTTGGAGGAAAATCCCGAGTGTTTTAGCCCCTGTTTTTTCCATAGCCGTGCTCTTCCCTTTTGCCGTGAGATTGGGAAACCAAATTAGTGAAGTTTGGCTCTAAAACCTCTTGTTTAAGAGATTTTTGGATATTATGATTTTATTTAAAAATATTTGGACTTTGGATAGATATATGGTTTTGAATAAAAATGAGTTATATTATGATTGAATTTCGTGTGAAGCTCATTGGTTAGTAAATTTGCGAGGTTTTGCTAATAATTCTAGTAAGGTCTGAATGTATTTATTTGGAATATTAGGTGCTGTTATGGCTTAGAGCACTGGGACTGAGTCCTCAGTTTATGCGATTGAGGTAAGTAAATTATGGTAACGCCCTTCGATTTCGAAGTATGTTTTAAATTGTTTTTGAGATGGTGACAAAGTTTATATTGATTTTATTAGCACCAAGTATGATTGGTTTGAAATGGAATTTTTATCATTTTCATTGAATTGAACATGCCTACTTGGAATTTACTTAACTACCTGATGAACTGAGAATTTTATAAATTTTGATTTTTTTGTTAAATCCATGCCCGCATGAAAATTTTCTGATTTATTTCTGAAATTTGAGATTGATTGTGAATTATGATTTTCGTGTTAACTTCTGCCTGTTTGGTCTCCGATATGGTCATGTTATTCGTGTGCCTGCTAGTGGGAGGTTTATAAACGCTAACACATGTTGACATGTTACTAATAGAACCGGTTCGTTTCTATTATACTGTTATCCTGCTAATAGGATTATACGCTAGTAAATCGTGTGCCTGCCAGTGAGAGGTTTATAACACTGGTCATGACCTATAGAGGAGATGTCTATTTCATTTTCGTACCCGTATCTGTTTTTTGTGATTATACTTGTTGGCATACTATAAGTTTAATTAAGGGCTATCCATATTTACTTATTGAGTTATCTCATAGTTTTTTCTTGTCCACCATTTCAGGAAGCGAAGTCAAGGACGAGGAAAAACGAGGGGAGTGACGAGTTAGAAGACTAGCCATCTTGTAAATTAAACATAGATTTTAGATATAAATCATGATCTTGTAAACTAGACTTTATTTGGAGATTTTATGATATCAAAGTAAATTTTAAAATTTTATGTTCAGATTTTATCGTATCAGATTGTGGTATGATAAAGTTCCGAGTTTTATGCATTTGTGGGACCCTTTCATGAGTCCACGGCGTTTGTTATAGCTCGGATTTAGATTATGGGGCGTGACAATTATACTTTTCAAATACAATATAATAATGGTAAAATAGAAAATAAAAGGTTAGATTAATGCGTTGAACACAAATTATCAAGTGAAATTATCATGGGTAATTTTTTTTCTTGATTAAAGAGAATATTTTTGAGAAATGATTAAAGAGAATATTTGATTATAGTAAATGTGTAAGATCAAATGTGTCCTTTCAACTTTCTCTTTGAAAGTAAATAAATTTAAAATGTGAAAGAAACCAAAGTAATAAATAAAGAAGTGAAAATATTCCAACTAAAAGTAACTTACAGATATAAGATGGAAAAAAAAACATCATACTTTCCAAATATAATATAATATTAGTAAAATAAATGATAAAAGTTAGATTAATGCATTTAACACAAATTAATGGGGGGAGGGATTGCATTTAACACAAATTAAATGAAAAAATAGATTAAAATTATATTTATATTTAGATCTCAATTAATGCATGGTGCATTATATATATATAGATAGATAGATGTAGATAGATTTAGACTTACTCTTTCCTGTTAAACTAATTTTGCATCTTCATCTCATTACCTATTTTCAAAAAATAAAAATAAAAATTTGCATCTTCATCTACCACAATCACTCATCAATTATTATTATCATTTACAATTTTCATTTATTTGCCTCTTCATCTACCACTCTCATTATCATTTACAATTTTTTTTTTTAATTAGTTAAATGCATACCCTCTTAAATGCATAGGGTAGCATTTTATATAATATATAGATGTAGATAGAAAAATTATTTTTTTTTATTTTTTTTTATTTTTTATTATCATTTACAATTTTCATTCATTTGCCTCTTCATCTATCACTTTCATTATCATTTACAATTTTCATTTTTAAAATTTCATGCACTTTCATTTTTTTTTTTTGAATTCATTAAATGCATACCCTATTTGATTATTTTTCCACTTTTTTTTTCTGCCCTTAATTATAGAAAATGTTTTTTTTTTTCATTCAATTATTTTGGTAGGTTAAATTTGTACTGTTATATTTTTAATTTTTTTAATAACTTAAATGTGTATAAAATAAAAATTTACTAGTTAAAAATATACAATAAATATATTAATTTAAAATTTTAAAATGTATACAAAATAAAATTTGAGGACTAAAAAAATGTCTCTTGTATAGACTTTAAAAGACAAAATAGACGAAAAAAATAATTTAGTATATATACTCTTAATCTTTAAGATTTTGTTAGACTACACTGACACTGTAAGTTTTTTATTTTTTTAAAATTCTAAAAATATATAAAATATATATTTTATATTTATTTTAATTAATATTTTATATATTTTAAAATAATATAAAATATAAAATAGAGAAATAAAGTACCAAAAAATTATTATCAAACAAAAGATGAAAAAATACTGTCTAACAAAATCTAACTCTTTCTCTAACTATTTATCCATTTGAGATGAAATTTCAATAGCTAAAAATTTGTAAACTATTAATTTTTAAAAGAAGCAAGAATCTTATTCGCTCACCTTGCGCAGACCCCGTAGACACTTCTCAGTTTGCTCATGTGTTTTGCACCTCAGAGCGTATCTCATGGCCATACCCTTTCTTTCCCCCAAGAATTACTCCAGTTCAAAGAAAGAAAAATCACACGTTGCTGGCGGGCCTACCCAATATGTCTTTTTGTTTAGAAGAAAGTGAAGGAAAATTTTTTTGATGGGAATTTAAATATTTTTTTATTTACTCTCCTTGAAATTGACATTCAGGAAGCCCCATAGGCCATAGCCATTGGTCCTTTTCTACACACCATTCTGCAAATTGCAACGCCATAGATTTGATTCACAAATTTGTAAACATTTTACTTCCTGCTATGGTATTCATTGCACTCCCTTTTCTCTTGGCCCCGTATCTCATTTTCAAATTCATCGGATACATTAAAAGATCCATGTGGTGCGAATCTGTGGCCAGAAAAGTGGTTCTCATCACCGGAGCCTCTTCAGGCATTGGCGAGGTTTGTACCACAAACTAAAATTATCCATTTTTTATTTTGATATATCATAAAGTCCGCCTCTTTGTAGCATCTGGCTTATGAGTATGCGCGGAAAGGAGCTCGTTTAGCTCTAGTCTCCTGAAGAGAGGACCATCTTAGAGCAGTTGCAACTGAAGCCTGCCGACTTGGGTCACCGGACGCCATTGTGATCCCTGCAGATGTTTCAAAGGTGCAAGACTGCAAGCGGTTTATTGATGAAGCCACGAGCCACTTTGGACGCTGTACGTATATGCTTTTATGTATACTAGGTTGCCTGCATTTTTTAAATAATATGGGGAAGGATTGACCTGAGAAGATGCATCGTGATCGCATTAATTGAATTAATTACAAGCTTAAGTGATGACTAGAATTTGTTTTATTAGTCTGTTATACGATTTTGCTGCTGAGGTTATGATCACCATCTTTTAAGGCTATCAGTCCTTTTTTTAAGTTATTAATTTTCTTGTAATTTTACTAATTCATAAATTTTTTAGATAATTAATTATAATATTTAAAAATAATTATTTATAAATTAATTTTAATATGTGAAATAATAAATATCAATTAGATTATTAATTAATAATTTTTTAATAATTAAATTAAAATAAAAATTTGACGACTTCAATTGCCCTAACAAAAGCAATGATAGCCAATTATGCCCATTTGCATTCTACTAAATTATAAAAATATAAATCATCAATTCGAAAAGCCATCTTCTTTATTAAGAAAAATCATTTCATCTATGATTCATATTGTGTACTCTGTGGCGATTCATATTACACAAGATTTTTTTATTTTGTTTTTGTTTGGCATATTAAGAACCGAAAATGCAAAAAATTAAGTAGAACGTCTAATCTCAGTTAATAGATAGATGACATATAATGTAAGGTCTACGCAACTCTCATCTTTTGTATGTTTCACCTGTCCTAAATTTCATTTTTATGTTAAGAGTCAAACTTCCTTTTTTTTTAGAAAAAAAAAGTTTTTAACAAAAGCCTAAAACTAATCGTACCACTAAAAGTGAACTAATTAGTATCATAATGTAGCAATTTGAATTCTTGATCTTGATTCTAAAGTGGCGGTGAATACCAACTTATAATTAAGTTCTTATCCATAATTAATATGGGCATTTTCTTGATTCTAAGTTTATGTTTTAACTGTTATTAAAATATTCAATTTGTAACAGTGGATCATCTGGTGAACAATGCTGGCATTTTACAATTAAACATGTTTCAAGATGTTACACAAGTTTCGGATTTTACTCCTGTTATGGTTAGTTGACATTGCCTTCAGTTTGTTAAATAATTTAAACCGCATTTTGGATCCAAAAATTTAAATATTAATATAAATATTGTTGTAGAACATAAACTTCTGGGGTTCCGTATATAGCACCGATTTTGCAGTTCCACACCTGAGAAAGAGCAAAGGGAAAATTATTGTGATTGCTTCCGCCACGGGATGGCTTCCTGTGCAGAAAATGAGCTTCTATAGTGTGAGAACTTAGAACAACGAGTGTTTGGTGGAGTTCATTTTCTAAGTTATCTACGAGGGAAATATGCATATCAGTACCAACTCAAAAACAATTTTGAGTTTTAATATTAAATTACGTTATTTTATTTAATAAAAATTTAATTTAAAATTTAAAAATTTATCTTATTAAATATTGATATTTAGATTTAGAAATTAATTGAATTTTAAATTTTGAGTTGGAATTTTAATTTCTAAATATAAGTTGAAATTCTAATTTTTGTGAAGTTAGGACTGATTTGCATAAATCTCTATTTGTAAAGAGTTTCTTATTTTTAGATTAAATTATATTATACTGCAAAATGTTAAATGTTAATTTTAAACCATCAACTTTAGAGTTTTACATAATTTTCATCTTTTAACTTTTTTATACACTTTGTTGGTTTTTAATTATGAAAAAAAACACTTTTTTAATCCTTCTATTAATTACTTTGTTAAATCTATTCAAATATATATGTTTTGAGTTCTTCAACTTATAATATATACATAATTTTCATCCCTTAACTTAAAAGTATAGGGATTAAAAATATGTATATTTAGATAGATTTAATAAATTGATGTAAAAATAATAAAAAAGTGCATTTTTTATAGTTAAAAAACAAAAAAAAAAGTGTATAAAAAAATTAAGGAACAAAAACTATGCAATACTTTAAAATTGAGGGTTCAAAATTGACATTTCACCCAAGGCAAAACATGAAATATTGAATGAAGAGTTACTCCTAATGTCAGAGAAACCATGTTTAGTGATACATTCCAAACTATAAAATATTTTTTAATTTATAAACAACTTCTCTGTCTTTTTTTTTAATGTAAAATTTTAAATTATGTTGAAGAGTCACTTGGAGGGAAAGCATTTTTGGGGCTTATAAAGCAATTTTTTATTTTAAAAAAAATCTATTTAGAACTTTTTATAAAACTTGCTTATTATAAGTTCCTTAAATGCTAAAAATTAACCTTCGTTTTTTCAACAGAACTTAAAATTTACGAGAGAATTTTTTTATTTTGTAAATAACATATGAAATAATCTCTACCAACCATCCCCATAATCTCCCTTGTTTCACTGAGGTGCATGTCATTTTCCTTGTTTAGCTTATAAATTGCAGTACTGTAATGGTATCAGGCATCAAAAGCGGCACTGATTCGCTTCTATGAAGTATTAAGCGTAGAACTGAGTTCAGAAATTGGAGTAACAATTGTCCAACCTGGCTTAATTAAGTCAAAAATGAGCCATGACTTGGGCTCTGAGGTATTACAAGAAGGAACTTTCATCTTAATTTTTAAAGTCAGATTATCTTTTTAATTCGATTTTCAATTTGTTATACGTTTACGTCTCGGACTTTTTTTTTTTTTTTTTTTTTTTTTTTTTTTT